AAGCTATAGTTTAGTAAATTTGCTTCTGGTACACACACTGTCCTTATATCTATATACTAATGAGCTATTTACACATCAAACCACCAGGCTGTTGGAGACAAGCCATGGCAGAAGACTTTATAGTATATTTGTAACAGTATCTATTCCTTTCACAAAATTCTTTTTTTTTTCTTTTCTTTTTTTTTTTTTTTTGAGACAGAGCCTCAAGCTGTTGCCCTGGGTAGAGTACTGTAGCATCACAGCTCACAGCAACCTCCAACTCCTGGGCTTAAGCAATTCTCTTGCCTCAGCCTCCCAAGTAGCTGGGACTACAGGGACCCACCACCACGTCCGGCTATTTTTTGGTTGTAGTTGTCATTGTTGTTGGCAGGCCCAGGCTGGATTGGAACCCACCAGCTCTGGTATATGTGGCTGGTGCCTTAGCCACTTGAGCTACAGGTACCGAGCCCACAAAAATCTATTTCTTGAAGAGTGTTTTTAGGAGTGAAAAAACCAAGTCCAAGCACTTTATAACATAAACCCATCTCAGAGTCATGCAAAGATGAAGTGACATCTATTGTCTGGGAAGCTTCACTGGGTGGTAGGGGATTGTGCACTGGTGTCCCTAGAGATGATGCCCTCTGGTGATTCCATAGTACTGGTCACCAGCGCCACCTTGTGGCTATCTTCTTCAATGAGAGGCCACATCAAGCCATTCTGCCCCACTCTTTGGGTGTCAAGACATACCAAGAGAGGTCCAGCAGAAGGATCTTGAGGAGAATAGCTTCCAGGGTAGTCATCATCCTCCTCCTCCTGTATCTGCTGAAAAGTTCGTTTCAGAGATTTCTTCTCTTCTGTTGCTAGAGGAAAGAAAAAAAGTGATAAATGTTGAGTCACGTATCTTGCACTCAATAGAAGTCAAATGCTTTGCACAATGGGTCACATGTGAAAACAGGGCAGAAGAATATACATTTTCAGAGACAGCTTAACATTAACTTTTACGCCACTTATTTTTAATTGGTTGAAGTTCCCTATATTACTGAAAATAGTCAAAAGGTCTTGGTCTATCATCTCAGATTAACTCTCTATAAAAATACCACTGAAAACAAGCATCTAAAGTGAAACTTACCTAACACTCATTTAAGTAAAAAGCTCATATTCTTAAGAAGAAAGTTAATAGGAGAAATAAAATTGCAAGAGACTCATGAGACAATATAACAAAGCAAGCTAGGGTTTATAGAGAACATATTGTGTATAAAATGAGGTATATTATGCATTGCACAGATCAATTCAAATTTATCAATAAAAACATGTCAAAAATTCTAATCACTAATATCCTTTGGACTGTCCCTTTAAAAACAAACCTAATTTTACCTTATAAAAAATAACCATTACTGACATGATTGATACTACTGGGAGAAATTATTTAAGTTACCATTTTAAAATTAAGCACTTCTTCCGCTGACAGGTTACATTACTTATTATCTGTACGGTATGCTTTTACATTGCTATGATAGATGTGTTAATTCCAAAATCAATCCTTTTGCATCAAATTGGACAATACAAAATAAATGCTGAACAACTGTGAGAAATAAATCTAAATGATAAATTCTGGTTTAGAAAGTAAAGAATATTGGACACTTAACATGTCAGGCATTGCCCTAGTTTTTTCACATTTAATCTTTCTTTTTTTTTTTTTTTTTTTTT